TTTAAGAGATGCCTGAGAAGAAATTTATTTTAGAGTAAGTTTTCGCAGTTATTTTCCTTGAGAAAATATTTTTAGGCCTCATGGAAGCACAGCAAAAAATACTTTGCTTGTAGCTAATGGGACAATAGCTGATCAAATAACTGACAATGCTATTTAAAAAAAAATAATCTCTGCGTGCTCCTATTTTGATCAGTCTCTTTCCTTACGTTTTCTGTGTACTTTCTTTCTAGAAATCACCTTTCATTGAGTTCAAGCCAAATAAATAATGAGTCAGTTGTGTGTAATAAACCCTACTTAACTTTAATAGATCAGACTCGACTTGTAATACATTTCGTCACCACCAGCATTTGAGAAATGGGTCTCCTAATCCCCAGTCGCCCTTTAAAAGAGGGAGTATATAATGTATTTTCTTCCTCCTTCCGTCATGCCATCGGTAGCAGGTTCGGCGCGAGTTCAAGAGAGATGGATTCGGGTCCTGCCGAGGGTGCTGCTCATTTTTTAAGCCTCCTGGTTCAAAAATCTTGCTGACTCTACAAAATTTCGGGCTTTTTTTACGTTAAACTGCGGATTTCTCAGAGCATAATGTAATCAAAAATATATATTTCGCAACTTCAATTTTTTTTTTAATATCTGCGCTTTTAATTACATACTCGGGGAATATTTTGAAAATTTGTAGAAGAATTAATTTTGCATTTGCTGCTAATAAATAATTTATAACCTTTAACAAAAATTGCCGTTATTTCTAATTTCTCTCATAATGAGATTCCTCCCCCCCTTTTTTTCCCGATTGTAAAATTATTTCCAGAGTAGCGAGTCTGCAAAATTTTTCTTTTGGGGGGAGCGCGTTTAAAGTTCTGGCATGCGCTCAGTTTTGGAGGAATAATAGAATTAATTATGTATTCTGCAAAAAATTTCTCATGCATTCATCTAATGGAGCATGCATCTCTTTCTTTCAGCAAAGTGTAATGTGCGTAAAGAAATAACAAAAATTACCTGCAAGTGGAAACTGAAGAGTGTGTATGTGGGGGATGCAGATTTGTGATTTTGAAGTGAAACGTTTCTGCTTAGAATAAATTTGTTTAGTTCTTTGAAACTCTGCATAATCTTTGAAATTTAATTCTCAGCTGCGAACACAAAAAAAGAATTGCCACAGTTTTGTCCGTTTACTTTTACTTTTATTTATTTTCATTTTATTCATTTATTTTTATTTATTTTATTTATATATTTTTTATTTTCTGTCATTAATTTATTTTATTTATTATTTACATTTATTCCTTTTTTTTTTATTAATTTACATTTGATTCACAAATGCGTCAGTTTATTTTCCCAAAAACAAATTCTGGAACATTTAAATATTTTGCACAGAAAATTGCAACTTTTTATTTATGCATTAGTTTACTACGCTTAAGCGGCTGCTTAAAGTCAGTTTCAAGCTACTTTCAAATCTTAATTGATCGGGCGGGCTACTGAGTAATCACTCAGTCTTCGCTGAAATTGTTTCAGAATGTGTTCGAGACCTAAAGAATGACATCGGTAAAGGAATTACGGATAATAGTATATGAAGAAAAATCCCAAATTAACATCTTGCATTCAATGCTCATATATTATTTACCTATAGTTGTTAGCGAAATAAGATTAGCGATGTGATTAGTTTATGTGATTGTTAGAGGTGTGATTATTAGGCGTAAATGCAAGAATTTTTAATTTCAAAAAGAAATGTTAATCTCATATAATCGTATCTTTAATGGCTAATCTCATGTTAATGTTACTTAGTTTACAATTAATAAAAATTGTTATTAAAATCCTAAAATATACAAGACTCTCTTTCATTATTAACGTGAAAAAAAAAAAACAGAAGTTCACTCTGATGTTCATGATTTAATTTGAAATATGAAATAGCTCTAATGGAAAACCATCAGAACTGCCAGTTGTCAAATAACTAAAAACGCAATATGACGAAATAACAAGAATTAAAAAAATAATAATAATCATTTAAATGTATAAATAATAAATGGAAAAAGGGAAAACAAGGCAATAAAAAATCACGTAAGAAAAATAAAAGAATGATACAGAAGTGAAAATGAGGTATAAAATAATAATAAGCAAAATAAAATAAGCTTACAGTTCTGTGCTAAAACAAACACATGGGATAAGAAGTAAAACAAACTTATATCAACATATGATATCGAAGATGGGAGAAATAGGAAATAATATTATAGTACTCTAATGTAAACACAGCTTCTTTTTTATATGAATACCTCACACCAAAAGAATCTCTTTTTATATTTATTAAAGATTCAATTTAGAGTCAACACTTTTCTTCCAAAGAAAATAAAATCTCAATATAATATACTTGCTAATGACCCGAAAGTCATTTTATATTCGGATTTTTCTAGTTACAATTTACGGCATTTTTTTTTTGGGGGGGGAGGTATCTTTTACACTGGAAACAGTGTATGTGTTTACAATATGAATTTTGTGAAGTTTATGTAATAACATAATTCTTTCTGATATCACGTTATTTAAGTATAAACAAAGATGAATTGTAGGTCATTTAAATAAAAGCTGCTTTGCATGCTAGCAGGATTACTATTTTGATCAGGCATAAAATGTTTCAGAGAGCTCCGGTCTAAAATCAAGCACGAACTAATATGCTGTTTTCTTAGGCTGGGTACAAGATCACTCGCAAAACAAAGTTATAAGAATAAATAATGATTCTGAATTGCACTGTCTGATTATAATAATAAATAAATATAAAAAGTAGAACGTTTTCCAATTATTAGCTATGCTTTATAATGCGAATAAACATGCATTTGTGTCATTCAGAATTTAAAATCATGCACAGCTAACAATAAATTTAAACCAAGTTTGTTTAGTAGAATTATTAAAACGAATCGAATTGATTTATTTCTTTAAATTAATCTTTGAGCAGAATGAAGGAACTTGGGTTTGTTTCCGCAATGAGAATAGAAGATAGTTTTGTTTTCTAAACAAACGCTTTTTGAAATTAATATAAATGTTAAATTGCTTAAGGTCTTTCCGTACGAAGTGGTTCAGTTTGTTTTCAAGTAGCAGTGACATGCTCGTGTTTGAACAGTGATAAGGATTTTCAGTACTGTTGGACGTAAATAAAATTGATCTGCCTACGTTTCAACAATGTGGGTAGTAAACTTGTTTTAATTATAGTCCTGTATAGAACGATTAGGCTTCGCCGGGATTCAAACCACGGATCCTCCAAGACAAGAGTCACCGAATATCGGTTCCGATGCTTCCCAGTTTCGGCAAAAATTACTATTCCAAAATCGCAAATGAGATTAGTTCCAGCTTTTTCTATAACTAAATAACAGTGTTTTCTGAAAATTTTGTTATTCTAGTAACATTTTTTTAGCAGTTGATAGAATTGATATTCATGCACTACTACAGCATGCAAATGTAACTCTGCCCTGGTATCAGCAAGGTAAGTGGAAATCTTGATGAACACAGGAAGAAATACTCTAGGCCCTAATAATGTCCCTTCAGCAACTGAAATATTTATGTGCTGTAGCCATGAGATCAAGAAGGTTTAATATGGGTTAGAAGTCCACAAAGATGTTATTTTTTTCTGATCGTGAAAAATACAGTTCGAAATGTCTACTTTTTTTTTTTTTTATTCTTTGTAGCATATCTTGCTATCAATAATTTACTCCTCTTCATCTGTTTTTGTGATACATTTATTTTAATTTAATTATTTACCTAGTTGCTATTCATTTAATTTAGTTTATTAATGCTTTTGTAACTTATTTTGTATATTATTTAATGTTGATCTTTCATTATTTACTTTTTATTTGCTATTATTTGATTAATTAATTTTGGCCACTCTTCTAGAAAGCTTAAACCTAACTCATTTGAAATAATTTAATTTAGTTTATTAGTATTTTCATTTATTACTTCGTATTCCATTTACTTTTAATTATTTATTTTTTAGTTGCTGTTATTTAATTAACAAAGTTTTGTTATTCTTTTAGAAGGGCTTCGGCATTTCAGATTTTAGAAATTAGGTTCTCACCCACTTACTATAGTATCCAGTAAGATACGGATTGTTCTGTACATTTTTTCACTACTGTACTAACGTATCCTAGAAGCAATGCAGCAATTGAAAATACGCAATCGCAAATTTTCATACTTTGTTTCTAAAATTATTATAAAATTTTGCAAAGCTGTGTTAATATAAAATTTACTTATTGCAAGAAACGTAATTTAAAAAAATTATAATTTACATGCATGTACTAATTAAATAACGAATGCTGTATAAATAACATTAACTTATTTCATCAATTTAAAATTGTTAAAGTACATAACAGTAATTTTAATGCGTAATGTAATAAAATAATATTAGAACATTATTAAAGTATTATTTTTTAAGTAAGAATAATTGCCTATTAATTAATCAGCATTTTTTACTACTCGCTTATTAAATAATAACTCGCATTAAATCAATTTGTTCTCTACTTACTAACAAATATAATAAGTGGTTAATGAAATATTAAATTATTAAAACATAACATAAATTATCTTTATTATTTATTTCAAACTGGATATTCTACTCAGAAAATTATAATTTCTTTGTAAACTAATCCGTCCCTGTTCAAATTGCATTGCTCTTGTTTGTCGTCTATAAACACAGTTTATTCAGAGTCGGCTTACTGTATTCGGCGGAATAGGCATAAAAATTTTGGGCGCACCATCGCTATAAGCCAAAAACAGCAAAATTGTGATAGAGCGCTTCAAAAAAGACTTTTGATTGTTCTCAAAAAAGTGCGAATTATTCAATGCGACTCCCCGAGCGGTCGTTTCTCCCTCGCCGTTCCCAGCCTTCCCCTCCCCCCCAAAAAAAGCCGCCTTTGATATTTTAAGCAAATTAACAGTGACTATTGAAATAAAATAACTTTTAAATTGAGAATGCAATCGCTAGATGGCGTTAGCACCGTTATTACCATCCGGATCTGAAACGCATGACGTTTGTGGGGTAGCCTGGCTTTCGAGGGATAACATGTTTCCAAATAAAATGCAGACGCAAATGCAGTGAGTTCTCGTTACGCGCAATATACCGCCAGAGATTTCAACAGCCACAAGCTGTGCTATGAAAGGTAATTGTTCTCAGTTATGTACAACATTATAAGTTCATAACTAAGTATATTATGTTCTTTTAGTGTATTTCTGCTGTGAAGTTTCTTCAGTTTTGTGGTGTGATTCTTTAGAGGCCACCCGGTTTTAGCGGCAAGGTCAGTCGGTTGTCATTCTGAGTTGTTTACTTCGTAAGCCAGGGATAATACTTCTCGAACTGTATACAAACCTTCATCGATTTTTACAGGCTTTGGCGATTTAAATGCTGTAAATTATAATATTTTAGGAACTGTTAATTAGATCGCATTTTGCTATTTATAATTATAAAACACATGCTTAGAATTTTGTATTTGGGCCTTCAGACACGAATTTAAAACATGTTTGTTAATTATTTTGATCGCGTTTTTAGATTAAAAGCGTAAAGATATCTTTTTCTAAGTAGGAAAATTGCTGTACGAACTGAGGTAATTAATATTTGTTGTGGATGGTGTACATGCCTGAATATTAAAATTATTTACACTTTTCTTTCTGATTTCTCAAAATTATTATTTCCTTTTTTCCCTAAAGAGAACATTAAGTATCTATGGTTAAATTTTCTGTTATGCTTTGTAATACATAATGGAGTGGACAGAGATGTTTACGATAAAAACTTTTATTTTTTACCAGTTTAGCTAATCTAACGTATGTTTCAATAGATGCGTTGAATGTAAAATGTTTGAGACTGTTCAATGTAAACAAAGTTTTTTTTTTTTTTTTTTTTTTTTGTTGTTGTTATTCATTAGTCATGTATTTGAATTCATTATCTTTCGGTCGGGTATGTAGAAGAAAAGTAGAAATCTGGAATATCTAAAGTGAAGGATAGATTTGGAATGTCTGCTTTTAAGACGTTTGAGAGATAAAGAGCAAATGTCAAAACATTTAAGATGTCGAGTACGAAGAGATTTCTATTAACGATGCCAAGTAAAGTTACTGAGGTATGGAAGGATATTTTAAAATGTTTTGAAAGTTAAATATATGGAAGTATGAACGTAACTCAAAATGTTTAATACGGTAAATGTTTTTTGAGATTATCAGAATTAGCCTATAAATGATTGAGGGGAAAACAAGATCTCAAAATGCTTAAGATCATCTTACTCAAAATGTTTGAAAAGATATTTTTTAATTCCAAAATATATTGGCATGCAAATAGTTAAAATGAAAAGAATAACTCAAAATACTTACGATATAAAATATTTGCTGTAAAAAGTAATCTGAAAATATCTGAAGCATATTTTTATCTCAATGCTTAAACTACTTTGTAGTAAACACATTATGGAAAATATATTTGATTATGATATATAATACATTCTGAATAAATATTATGTTCTCATCTTATTTTACAATTGATTCACTTAAAAGATATCTAAATTTGCCATATAATATTATATTTGTGAGGTATTTCATTTATGATTGTTTCCCTCGCTAATATCATTGACTTTTCCTACCTTGTCCTATTTCGTGACATGAAGTGTTTTTAGTTCAAAATATCACAAAATTATGCTACTCTGTTAATCATAATACTTTTCCATCAGTTCTGAATTTATAAAGATAATTGGTTTTTTTAATGTGAATATAACTTATATGGGCCAACTATTAAATTACTGGGAGTATTACATATTTGTAATATTTTAATATCTCGGTTTGAAATAAAGAAACGTTTAATTTAGAGCACTGGTGGTGAGTGAGTTAAAATCGAAACATGACGACGGAATGATATTTCAGCTAAATGCGGCAAAATTATTAATGAATATAATGTTTGTTGGTAGAAAAACTGGGATATGAGGTCAACTTAAAAGCAATATTTTATCGAGAGCAATTCGTTTAATTTTAAATGTTTGTATTCATTATTTTCTTCTAAAAATATTGTAATTTGTTTATTTTCTTTTACCTCGGCCAACAGTGGCATCCTTCTCATTTTAATTTTATTTTGATTTGATTGTGACATAGGCCTGCATTTAAAAGTATTTTAACTTTCGTTACGTGGTGGCTGAAAGCTACATATTAACTCACTTTAAACTATATATCTATACTGACACGAGAAAGTATCAGCATTGTATGTAACGTTCTGTGATGCAAAAAGTCTTAAACTTTTAAAAATTAATAGTTTAACTACTTAAAACTCACCAGAATGATCTTCCGAATAAAATTACCTAAACATACAATCAAATTTCATAACAGCAGAGAAAATTTTTGTGATAAACTAAACGATCAGAAAATTTGATTTAGGTGGCATAATTATCCTTACGGTAGAAAAAGATGTACATAAATTTAAATAAACGCATAGTATGTAATTATTTGTCAATATTTTTTTTTTTTTTTTTTTTTTTTTTTTTTTTTTTTTTAAGTATATACACTTTAAATTAAATACTTGTTTTCACATAGTTGACAGTAAGACTGGCTATTAACTCCTGCGAACCTTGCGGTATATGCAGGGATTAGTGGAACTACTCATTTATTAATTCAACCACCATACTGTACCCGTCCCTGAATAGAAGATTCGCCGGCCCTGCCAGCAAATATCTTTATTTAAAACTAAATTACATAAACAAAATATTACAATCATCTCGGTTATCTTTTACAATGCAAAACCAATCCAACCAGGATAATAATACAAAAACTTAATTACAATTTTTAGTTATAATTATATATCATTTACAATTTTCTTTTACATAATATTTTAAGAAGATTGTATTACAATTTTAAACTATTTTACAAATTAAGTCTTTTCAATTCATTAACTTTACTGACATCTTAGAAACAAATCTTCTTCTGTTTCTGTAATAATTTTCATTATATCTTTTATACCTTTTCTTGATTTTTCATCCTTGTAAATTTTAACTAAATCCGATTCGGTTCTCAATTTTGGTAAGAACTTATACCATCTTTCCTTTAATAAAGCACAATTAAGAACATGTTCAACATCTGCTTCTTTAGATCCACATTGGCACATAATAGATTTAATATTAAATCTATTGTAATAAAAGGGAACATGAACATGATTTGTAAGGAATTGGTTAAGATAACTGTTTCCAAAACATCTTTTTGTTTTAATTTCTTTTATGAACTTATAAGTGAATCTACCTTTTGAATCTTTATCGCATGACGAATGCCAGTTGACAGTAAGTGGAACACAGCAAAAATCAAAGTAAAATCCTATCAAAATTTAAGTATTAAAAGTGTTTTTTTATTCCGTATATTTTCAAGCTTCCGCAAAAATGCTTCTAGGCATATTGCTAAAGATGTGTAAAAATGATGCGAAGCGCTTTAAAAATAAGGAGAAAGCATTGCATCAGTGAAATGTTCACCTGTACTAAATTAACATGATGCATTATAGTGAGTGAAAATCACCGGAAAAGCTGTTCATGATAAGAGAATTCTGTATATGCATCGAATACTATATATTCCCGATTATATGTATGTAAGGATATGGGTTTTTATTTGATTTGGAAATGCTGGTGAGTCAATAAACCCTAACAGACGTGAAGAGAATTATCGCTATGTCTGAAAGTAACTATAAATTCGTAGAAAGGTTTAAACTTTTTTATTTAAACAGAATTCAGAACACTAATGCATTCTTATGTGCTAACGATATCAGCTACAGCTCATTGTAATGTAATTAAGGAGAACAGTCATACTGAAGTTAAAACGTGGACTAGTAGTTAAAGATTACACAATTTAAATATACTCAAGGGTGTTTCTGTAATCGTAACCGGTGCGTCAAAATCAAGATGTCGGCAGCGATATAACGCAAAGGCGAATAATTACAGCTATCGGAGTTGGCACGAACTAAACGTAGCGTACACGCGGCAGCCAGAAACACGCTTTGTCTTAAAATACAAAAACCTCATCTTTAATGCTAACTATCTCATTTACATTCTGGTGAGGAAAACGCGTGCATATAAGTAGAGAGTTCTTGAAGTTTAGAGAGTGTGTTTTTGACAGCGACGCTGACCTTCGCGCTATTTTCGTCCAGCTCATAGAATTCCCTAAGTCGGTTTTAGCCTTATGCTAGGCATGTTGCTGACGTTTAGAAGTCTGAGCTATAAAATCACCTAAATCGGCTTTAGACTTTTAGTAGTAGTCTGGCTGGCGTATTTAGAAGTCTGAGTTAAAGCTTAAGAGGACTTTGTTTTTGGGAAATCAAAGCGTTATTTAAGAAAACTTTAAAGAGTTATGTTAAATTATATGTCGCAAGTAGCGGTGATGCTTTTGTAAAGCACAAGCTGTACATTTCTGTAAGTTATAGTTATAATACAGCGTTTTATTTTAAACCTTCATCCGAGTTATAGTTGTTTTTCTAAGCCGGGGCAATAATTAACCTGTCGGTCTGTATGGAAGCAGAACAGTGTAATTTTAAAGATTCCTTACACGTACTAATGAATGTACAAGTAATCGAAAAATACTCTTAGTCGGAAAATGGCCCTGCAAGACCGAAAGAATAACAAAACATGAACTCACTAAGAGTTTAAAATAAAGGTCTATTTTAAACAGGATTTTATTAAAAGCGTCTAAACTTAATGTGTTAGTAGTTTACCCACTGAACCCACTGAAGAAAATGGGGATATCTTATATTGATGTCATGTTAATATCCTTTTATACGATGCAGAAAATACTACTCTAAGCTACGGTGTCATTAAATGCGAATTTAGTTTATGCACTCGTATAATCTAAGTGCTTGTTTGTACAATCCAGTACCCCAACATAGTCGCACATTTTCTTCATCATTATCCGCTTCGGCACTTCTCTTGCCTTTCCTAATGCGTCAAGAATGTATTAGTGTAATCAACTTCTATAGCTTCTATATATTTCTCCCTGCATGCCTTTTTGTTGTCTTCAGTTTTGTTATCGAATGCATGAACACCAGAAATAGTTTCAGTGAGACTCAATGCTATAACCAGTATTATCCTATGAAGGTTTGTTTAAACAAAGGCCGGAAAACTTACCGCGTAGAGTATTGATGACATTGAGTACTGGAAGCATGGAA